AGTTTATTTGAATTTTCAAGATTTTGTGGTTGGTTTGCAGCATCAAGTCATACAAAGCATCATAAGCTATTTAGTTGACAGTGTGTTTTTGTTTTCCTTCGGAACTGTATTTAACAAATTGCGTTTACATAAACTGTCAGGCATTCAGAAGTGTTTAACAAAACAGAGGCCACCACAGCACGTTCGGCTTCTTTCAGTCAGTACCGTCCGTGATATTCCCTTTCTTGAGATTGGTTCTCCTAATGAGTCTTTAAAGATGCGTGATTTGCTTTATGCACTTAAGAAAGAGATACAGAGAAGGCGTTTGGGCAAAGCTTCTAGTCTTGGATCTGTTTTTTTAAGGTGTAAATCTTGAGAGGAACTGTCTGTCTTTACAGCTGACTCCAGCGCATCCTGCCTCTGTCCGCTGGGGGTCCCTCCCAAGTGGCACAACACAGCAATCACCTCTCTCTGGGCATTTCTTTTTTATTTAATTTTTTCTTAACATTTTTACAGGCTGTTGGAAAATTCTTTAGCTACAGACGTATAGCTGGACTCCCTCAGAACAGCTTTCATTTGTATTTTTACTTTGCTTCAAATTTTAGTTAAAGCAAATAATGAGCAAAACAGTAATGTTTCCCAAATATACTCATCTAATTATCTAATTGTAACATTTCTCTTTTAATGCATGTCTAGTTTTTTGGTCCCTGATGTCTTTTGATTCCTTTGAAAATGTTCACGATATTTAATTACCTTCACTAATTCCTCAGTGCTTAGATTGTTACAGGCTTTATTTTGTATTTCATAGAGTTCATCTTGCCCTTTTTATGACCAATTTTGCGTTTTCTTGGAGTTATTGAGTATGGCACTTGATTATGCAAAATCTTTTGAGCTCTATCACATTTATGTTTTGTTCTAAATGACATTGTTAAAATTCATAAAATTTGCCTATATCAGTTCTTTACAGTCAAATTGAAAAAAGAATGTATCGCTTCAACACGTTCAGAACATTTGCAACCCTAGAGATTTTTTTTCAAGCACGAAATGTGTTCAAGAGCATAAGACCACTTCAGAGGCACAAAGATGAAAACAACTGAGTTATTTCCATTCATCTATTCTTTGGAGTGATGAAATAAACCCAGAAATAACATGAACAGCACAATGATGAATTGAAGATTTGAAATTTTTCAGCTTCCTTCATCCAAGATGTTCATCAATTGGAGGCAGCTTGTTGTAAATTTCCATGTCATTGGTGACTAGTGATTAAAATAAACAAACAAACAAAAAGTGTACTGTCCAGAGTTACTGGCCCAAACCAATTGTGTGACATTGTACGTTAGAGCCATGGGTACTTTTCTTCATTTTTCTTTACCCATCATTTCTTTTCCCATTATACATCTTTCCCTTATACCTTCATCTTTCTTTACCCATCATCAGATTTTTCTGCATCTTTCTTGATCTTCATATTCAATATTCAATAGGCCACATATTTACTCACATAAGAGCCATAAGAAATGCAAATGCTTTCAAGTTCATGTGGTAACCTAAGAGCTTTATGGCTTTGGGTCTTGAGAAGAAATTCTATTTTTAGTTGGCAGTAAAAAGTGAGAAGACAGGAGCCTTATAAAAACGTATGGAGACACTTTAAAGCAACTCACTGTTTTTGATGAGTGGACGGGGGCTTGGTGAAGGCTTGGTGGTTCTTGCTGTTTTTTCTGCCCTGCCCCCACCATCTCCTACTCAGCTCCCACATCTCCCAGTCTTTAGTCTGCAAAGGTTCTCATCCAGGAGAACAAACTGCAAGGGAAGAAGGTGAACTTATAAATTAAACAACTCTCAGAGTCGGGCAGAAGAGGGGGCAAAAAAATGACTGGAAAATTCACTGAGTACACATCATCCAAATTATGCCCCAAAAATGTACAGGTATAAATGTACGGACCCCTTTTTCATAGCGCTGTCAAGAAAATCCTTGTGAAAATGACTGAGTGAGAGAGTGTATGACTTGCTTTGGAAAAGTTATTTTTAAGACAACTAAAACGACTTTTTAAACATAAAATACTTTTGCTTATGAAATGTAACAAACATCCAAATGCTGTTGTGATATCTGTTCTAAACAAATTCTAATTTATGGTAAAGAGAAGCCCGTCCAACATGGGGCCAAAGATTCCTAAACCAAATTATTTTTGTGTTGTAAGCAAGTGCTCTGGACTTGGAGTCAAGCCTGCTGAGAAACCTCAGTCGGCCTTAATGTGAGAGGTCCAGGCTGCTATGAGCCTGTGTTTTAGGGCCAGTTGTAAGTATTTTTTCACAACTCTGCATCCAGTGACCTGACAAGGTGGCTTGAAACTGGCCACATGGGATTGTTTATAGCACAAATATTGTTAAATTCTATACATCATAGCTTTCTTCCCTGAATTAGCTGTTAGGTATTTGCCAAAATATGTGTTTCTAGTTGCTATTTAGGACACTTTCGGTCTGAAAACTCTGTGATGGTCCAGTTCTATGGAACAATTGGCTTTTTGCTTCTAGTTGCCATGGACTCTGACTTAAGTGACAGAGAGTCACGCTGAGTCTCCCAAGCCCTCCGTGCTGGGTCTCGTGGGCTCTGGGCTCGGGAGCGGCAGGCATGAGCTTCTGGTGAGCTCTGCGGTCCTGTCTCCTCCTTTAGCAGGGCTGTGTTATTCCACCCAGGTCCTCACTGCTGGCTGCTAGAAATAGCCGACGTGTGTCCTGGAGAGCCTGCTGGGGTGAGGAACGCCCAGGGCGATGGAACGCTCCCCTGCAGTCACATTTCCCAGTGGGAAGACCGAACTGAGAACTCACCTAAGGGAGAGTTCCCTTTGCTGGAAAATGTTTGGGACTACTTACTTACACGATATCACATTTACCTCAGATCTGTACCCCACACACAGTTTACAGTGTACACCTTGCACGCATTCCAAAAGTCACTTTCCTGGGGCAAAGTTAAAAGTATGTGAAAGTACAGAGTCTGTGGAAATAGCGTCTTTACGTAACACTGGCTTTTAATGAGATCAAAACATAGGATAAAGGTAATCACGGTCTCAGAACCCTCTGACCATGATTACGGGAAAATTAGAGTGCAGTCCACTTGCTTCGTGTAGAGTTTATTTATAGAGATAGTTCGAACGGCATTTCAATAAATGACTGTCTTACTGGTGAAACGCTTCGTGTGTACGTGCGCGGGTGTATTACATCCAAAGTCTCCTGAGGCTTGGGAGGGAATAAATTGCTCCCCGCTCCTGCAAATGCCATCATTTATTAGCCGCTTGCACCTGTCTTGCTGCAGATTCTTTCCCAGCGGGAAGAGGTGCCCCTCCGAGCAGCCA